GCTTCTCCCTCCTCCAGCCGCCTCCTCCGCCCTGTACGTCCCCTTGTGGCGCTCAATACTGTAAAGATTTTATTTTTTGTATATTTTATTGCTGTATTTACAGGCTTTAACTTTCTCCTAAATAAAGGTGCTAAAGCGACTGTGCGCCCCAGCTGGCCTCCTCTCTTACCGGTCACTCATAGACTTTAAGGTCAGAAGGGACCGTTATGATCATCTAGTCTGACCCCCTGCACAGTGCAGGCCACAGAATCTCGCCCACCCCTTCCTGGAATAATCCTCTCGCCTGTATCTCAGATATTGAAGCCTTCAAATGGTTTGAAGACCCCAAGATGCAGAGAATCCTCCAGCTGTGATCTGTGCCTCATGCTACAGAGGAAGGCGAAAAACCTCCTGGGCCTCTGGAGGTTAAATGCGAACACCAGGGCCAGTGAGATTCAGCCATTGGGGGGTCAGATCAATGGTCCATCTCGCCCAGTACTCTCTCTCCTAGCAGAGCTTCAAAGGGAATGGATTGAGTGATCCATCCCATGGGCCAGTCCCTACTTCTGACACAGGCGTCGGCACACCCAGAGCAGGGGGCTGTGTCCTGCCCACCCTGGCTGCTAGCCGTTTGTGGACCTGGCCTCCAGGGATTTAAAACTGGGCTCAAAAAAGAATTAGTTTTGGTGCTCACAGCATCCCTTAGCAACGTGATTTCCCCCGCTGCCTGCGCGCTGGTGAAAAGCACTTGCCTCTGTCCGTTACGTAAGAACGGCCAGACTGGGTCAGACCAAAGCTCCATCTAGCCCAGTCTCCTGTCTGCCGACTGTGGCCAATGCCCTGTGCCGCAGAGGGAGTAACCCAAACAGGTAATGAACAAGCGATCTCTCTCCTTCCATCCATCTCCACTCTCTGACAAACAGGCTAGGGACACCATTCCTTACCCATCCTGCCTAATAGCCATTGATGGACTTAACTAGATAAATTCATGGAGGTTCTCTTTTGTTATAGTCCTAGCCTTCAAAACCTCCTCAGGCAAGGAGTTCCACAGGTTGACTGACTATGCGCTGTGTGAAGAAGAACTTCCTTTTATTTGTTTTAAAGCTGCTGCCCATTAATTTCATTATGACCCCCAGTTCTTATATTATGGGAACAAGTAAATAACTTTTCTTTATTCATTGTGTCCACATCACTCATGATTTTATAGACCTCTATCATCTCTCTCCTCTCCTTTCCCTCCCCTTTTCCAAGCTGAAAAGTCCTAGTCTCTTTAATCTCTCCTCATACAGGCCCTGTTCCAAACCCCTAGGACCCATTCCTCTGTTGAAAACCTGCTGCTATTAATGTCCCTGCCTGACCCCAGCTTCTTGTGGTGTGTGTAGTAGTCAGGATGTGCCGGCATGGTGGCCTGGCCAGTCTCCTGGAAGTGGTCAGTGAAGATAACCAGGCGGCTGTGTGCATTTGTGCTTACTCGCATGGGCTTGTGCAAGTCGTAAACACAGCAGACTCCGAGACACCACAGAATCAGATAAGGATCAACAGTGCCCAGCCAGGTTTATTGTGAAACGAAGCACAGTCGGACCTGTCAGTGGACTCTACCGAACCACTATGCATATGTCCCTGACAGCGGACTGACTGGGTGATACTGGAATCCATCACTGCCCCCGAGGTTTGGACAAAGCCCCTTAGAGATACCACTTTATATAGAGGTACAACCAAGTTACACCTCACTTGTGACCTTGTCAGGTTGCCACCCTCTGGCGTTGCTTCAATACCACTTTCACCCTGCACCTCGTGGTTCGATTAGAACGTCTGTATCCATCACGCTGTCAGTTGAGACCCTTTCCTGAACCTGGCTCGGTATCCATGGGCACCAAGGTCTCTTTAATGAGCTGCTGGCACCATCCTTTGGGAAAGTGCTTTCAGCTTCTGCCCAGTACCAATTACTGTTCTATACCTGGGCCTATTGCCAATGACTGTTTTGCTCGCTCAGCCAAGTTCTGGGAGCAGGGGCCTGCCTCTGGCTCCCAGCTTAGCTCTGCTTTATATTAGCCAAGTTGTGTCCATTGTTAGCTGGGCCTCAAACCAGGCCTGTGCTACATGGACTTTTGTTTCAGGCCCTCATCTGATTAATAAATAAGGGTAAACAACCCTTTCTCCTCACCAGAGACCTCTGTCAAATCCCCCTTATTTCTTTCCCAAGCTGTATAACCCCCATTATTACCCACACAAATTTCTCTATCCCTTCCACTCTTCAGGGACACCCATCCTTACCCAATTGCTAGGGCTCAGAGTGTAACTTTCTGCGGGTCTGCAGGATCTTTTGCCACTGAAAGAGCCTTACACGGTAACATTCCTATTCTCTATTTATTGACAATTCCCAAGCAAGCGGAATATACTTCCTAAGCACACAATGTCATGCTCACCGATCCTGATGAAGGCAGCCAGACATCCCTTGGTGGCCAGAGAGCCCGATCTTCCCTGGATCTTAGCTGCTGCACGTCCCGGTTGTGCTGAGGACTTCTGGCCGCTCTGGTCTTAGGCCGGGGTGGGCAATAATTTTTAATGGAAGGCCACGCCAAGATTTTGAGGAGTGTTCAAGGACTGCATTTCTACTGAGGGGATTTGAGGTCTGGGACAGAGGTTGGGTGCAGAAGGGAGCTTGGGGTAGGAGATTGGGGTGCAGGGGAGTGGGGGGGTGGAGTCTGAAAGGGAGTTTGGGTGAAGGGAGGAGGTTATGATCTGGGGCAGAGGCTTGGGGTGCAGAGTCCAGGAGGGGGTATGGGTGCAGAAGAGGATTCTAGCCTGAGGGAGGGGCTCTAGGAGGGGGTGCAGGATCTGGGAGGGAGTTGTGACCGGGGGGAAAAGGTACAGAGTTTGGGTGGTGACCTGGGGCAAGTAGTTTGGGGTTGTAGGTGCCAGAGGCAGGTTCTGGCTGGGAGGTGCTTACCACTGCTGCTGTGCTGTACTCAAGGGTCCCAGCGAGGAAGCCGTGGGCCAGATCTGGCCCACTGGCAGCCTCTTGCCCATCCCTGTCTTAAGCGGTGTCTCGGAGGTGAATTCTTCTTCCAGGCCTTCCCTCTTTCTTGCTGTTCCTTTCTTCCTTTCCCCTTTCCCACTGGTCTCTTTGGACCCCTGTTTATATAGTGAAACGTGAGTCCCGCATAGCTAGACTTTAACCAATTTATTTTAGTATAATTTTACTAACCAATCCTAACATACGGTAACAGAATTACCTAACCAATTGTACCCCACCAGCTTAGTTGATTTACACCTAGCAACATGAATTATCCGGCAAATAGAACCAGTTGCAAACCAGACCGAGATATCACAAACAGGAAAAACAAAAGGAAAAACTACGTGGCACTTTAAAGACTAACAAGATGGTTTAATAGGTGATGAGCTTTCTATTAAACCATCTTGTTAGTCAAAGTGCTACATAGTTTTTCCTTTTGTTTTAGCAAGATCAGACTAACACGGCTACCTCTCTATTACTAAACAACAGGAAAGTGTGGCCAGTA